ATACAGCACCTTTGGTTAATTGTTAGGTAAGAAAAGAGATACCACTTACACAGTGTGAATACTTGCAGAGCCCCCATAAAATATGCTCAACCCTTCAAATATACATCTGCTTTAATAACCAGTAGGAACAGAATTAAGTGCTATAAAAAAGATGCAAAATGCTCTTTTCTACGTTGACCTAAAAATAAAAGACTGATAATACATTTTGAAGAGCTCTGTGTTAAAGAAAAGATCTTATTTTACATCAAACAATACGGTGAGGAGCAAAGTTGTCTGTTTGTGAAGGCTTAAATATGTTCATTTGTATCTGTATGTATATATTTAAATTATCCTGCTAACTAAAATAGTTCCCTAAAACCTTTTTTTTTTTTAATTACAGTAGAAATATTAATGAAATGACACCTTTATCTTACCAAAATATTTATAAGCCACAGCATTCAGAAATGGTAATTAGGCCAGTGCTGAGACACCACCTGATGTCTGTGCAAGAAACAAACACAGGCTTTTCAGCACATCAGCAAAAAACATTTCAAGACTAATGGGTTTTAAGACTGTAGTTAAAGCATTTGGAAAACTGCACAAAGACCAGATGACTGACAGAACCAAAGGATACAGCACAACAGAGTTAGAACAAAACATTAACCCTCACACAGCATATTTTAAAATTAATTCTGTTGTGAACTAGAACTGTGTTCTGTCAATACAGAGGATTGAGCTCCTCCATCCTGTCACTGTGGAGGGGTTTCTTTTGTTCCTGATGTTCACAAAGCACTTGGAACACAGACAAGAAAACCACTGTGACTGCAAGAGGTGTGACTAAACCTGTATTAATGGAATACAGACAAAGCTTTAATAAGCTGAAACATTTTCATCCACACGTTAAATAAAACACCAACCATTTTGGAAATTAGAGTGTACAACTGTTTATACTGACCCATGAGAGCATCTTCATGAGTATTAAAAAAACCCCCAACACGTATTTGCAGATTGCTACTCAAATTTGTACCCTTTTTCTTGGAGTTAATCAATACAGGAAAATGGAAATTACTGAGCAGAAGTCTTCTCAGGTCAAAAGATACAATTAACCAGGGGAATCCCTCAAAAAACTAAAGAGTTTGTCATACTCTTTTAGTCCCATTCCTGTTTCAAGTTTTGGAATCAAATTACCAGCATGTCCACACAGTCACTTTAAAAATGCAACAGCCCAGTTTGAGATGGCAGAAAGAAAAATATCCCTATAAGTGACACTATTACCCACACCTTGACACTATTACCCACACCTTGACACTATTACCCACACCTTGACACTATTACCCACACCTTGACACTATTACCCACACCTTGACACTATTACCCACACCTTGACACTATTACCCACACCCACAAACCCAAAGAACCTCTGTTTCCCAAAGAAAGCACAAATGGTTTCAGTTCTGCTTGCAGTTCAAGCCACGGAAGTGTTACATCAAAAATGCTCACTTGATTTTTCCTCTTCTCTGAAGTTATGGCCTTAGTTTTATGTTAGATAATAGGATTTGCAAGAGAGTTTCTGAAAGATTTAGGAAGAATTTATCAAGTTACCCAACCATGAAAGTCTGACTAGCAGAAATATGCAATAAGTTCCCTGATAAATCCTGATGTTGCTGGATAAAAGAAGGTGAGTGTAGCAAATCTGTAGCAGCATTATTACAACACAGCACATCTGTATTTCTTTTTCATGCTAGCTTTAGCTGTGTTAAAGAAGAATCTAGAATATTTCAGTTGAATAGCTTGCAATTTGCAGTATTACTATTTGCCCTGGAACAAGTGAATGTGGTACCTACAAAACCCAAACTATACAAACACTCACATACCCACACAGAAAACATTTCCAAAAGAAGTCTTACTTTTGTAGGAGCTTTGCTGTAGAAGATAATCACAGACAAGCAATAATCTCTTTTGAACACAGCAAGCACCACACAGCAAACCAAAGCAGAGAGAGCTCTGGTCTGGATGCAAAGACAGGTCTGTGCCAAGAGGAGAGTCCTGGCAGGTGCCTCATAAATAACCATTTCATGCCCAAGTGTACACAGAGATAATCCTGGCTTTGATTTTCCCTGCCTTCGAAAGGTGTGAAAGACAGAAAGTGCCCTTAGCAGAGCCAAGGTTCAGGTATTGCTTTATTTATTGATACTACTAAGCATCTGTTTGAAAATATTTGATCAAACGTCATAACTTCCAACACTTGCTTGGCTTTCATTTGTACCAGTTTTATATAAAGTATTTCTTCCATAAATAGCATAGCCCTGCTAACTATGGCATAACAACTGTATAGAACTGAAGTTCACAAAGTGCTCTTGTCCACGTTACAGATGACATATAACGTGCTACATTGTCATACCTGTGCTATAACACCTGCTTTACCCTGCTTTTCCATGCAAAAATACCAACGTTTAAAGTGTTCTGCTTGAGAAAATGGGACTTCTCTCAGTTTATAAACATCCAAACATACGATTTTAATGCATAATCAACCAGATATTTTGGATGTATTTAGAACTGGAAGCAGCAAACTGGAGGACAGGGAGAAGCTCGAGTCAAAAGCCCAGTCTTGCTCCAGTTCTTTCCCATCTTCCAGCTAATCAATAGTCAAGTCTTTGGGTCAGTTTATCAACTACCTCCTGATTTACTGAATTGTACATGGAATACCAGAGAAAGGCAGTGCATGTATTTTTTAAGACTAGGAGCCTTCCAGAAAGAACTGAGACAAACAAAACACAGCACTCCTTTCACTGTTTTGTGTTGCACTAGAAACCAGACAGGAACTACAACTGAATAAAAAATATAAAATGGCAAAACTGTTTTTATTCTTTCATGTCCTTCCCCCTGCAGAACACAGACATGCTACACAGTCTGAGAGATTTGGCTTTTAGAATTTATCACTCTCCAATTTTTTCCTACTCAGCTCCAAATAGCCCACATTTCTTAGCCTGTGCTACTGTTTCCAACACTGCCCTCATCATCCCTTCATAATTGAGGAGTTTTATATTTATTTTAATCATGCCTCCAAGTCTCATCTTTGCTGCATCTGTGTTACCAAAATAACAAACTCTTGGTAAAGTTATGGGATTGTTAAAAGCACATTCATAATGTTTTTAGAGACCTTCAGTCACCACCTGAGCATGAGCCAAAAGTTCACTGCACCCTCAGATCACCCATTTGCTACAAATAATCGATGCTACAGTGCAGAAGCAGGAGCATATGGACCCTACTTGATGCCCCTCAGTAAAGAATTTAGGGATTAGTTTTTACAGCCACCTCCAGCTCCTACTCTTCAGCTGGATATTGAAAATACCACAGGAGAGATGGCATAAAATAATCTCACTGCATTTTCCAACCATCTCTAGTAATCTTCTGGTGTCAACCAACCTAAACAAGGCTAAACTCATTATTAAATGGCTGATACACAAAAACAAATATATCTGTCACTGCCAAGTATTGAAAGGGATTTACTAACCAACTCAAAAAACCTCCATATAGCCATGCTACTTAACCAGTCTCCAGGTTAAGACAGAGAGACATATATTCCTCTTCAGAGTAGTAAGAAAGCCATGAATAACTTCAGTTAAAAGAAGAATTTCAGGTTGGCTGCATATTTATCATAACATTGTAGAATTATTTTGTTCAGCTGCAAATAGCAAGGTATCCTTTTCATTAGCAAGTGACTAATTTGTTCAGTCAGACATCAGAAAAAGACCTCAGAACATCATTTTTAAGATTGTCCCAATGAACAAAATTAATTCAATGATAAACCAGAGTTAAAACAGTAAATTATGGGTAAATCTAAAATTAGGAATACTCCCTGACCTTAGTTTAGCAGTACAAACATTCCCAGACTAAGTTTGTTAACATTTGCAAGAATCTCAGTATATAAAAACCCACTTTGTCTTCCCTTTGCTGCATTTCTTGCTTGCCTAACAAAGACCCACAACAACAAAGACATCTCTAGATACAGTCAAAGATGGAACTACTCCTATTGTTTTCCTCCTCTTTTAATTGTCTTCAGCAGTCGAAGCATTTGCCAGAAGGAAACCACCCAAAAGAAAACTGCACTGGCAGGGCCTGAGGATGTATTTGCATATTCAGGAAGTCACAGGAAAAAAACACATTCAGCGCTGTTTATCCAGTTTGAAAATTTGAATAAATTCTTATCTCAGAATCTTTTCTAGCAATGATCAGAACCTGTATCACCCAACTGTGTCACTGCCAGCTTGTTGCCTGAAGACCAGAGGGAGATAAACTCTCTGAGCAGCATTTCCAGAAGTACCCACACCTCATGGAACTGTTGTTTTCCCCACAGTATTTCACAGGTGCTGACGGCTCATGCCCCTGGTTTCAGAGTGAAAGGCTTAGTGGCACATCTTCCCTCTTTGGTGAACTTTTATCATTGCTATCAAGAGAATCAGGAGGTTTCTGGTTCTAATTTGCAGCAACTGTAGGTTTATCCTATGTCAACCACTGTATTCACTGAAGACACAGATGGAAGAACACTCATGAAATATTTGCAAGAGAATTCTGGCCATGCTTCTTGTTGCAAGCTGTCTGCTACTTACACTGTCACCAAAGCTTTGTATGGAAATGATAAAAATGTGCTGATTTATTTTCCTGGAAATTTGCACTTAAGAAAGTGCTGGTGATCAGGATGACAGAGCACAGTTGCAGTTTTAGAAAGGTATTTAGAACATGAGCTCTAACTAATGAGGAAAGCTTTTTTTCCAAGAAGTGTGTTGGGTACCTGAGACCAAACATAACCTGAACTAAAAAACCAAAACCAACACATGAACAAACCAACAAAAACATAAAAACTCCCAAACCAAAAGACAAACAAACAAAAAACCCCAAACGAACCAAAACAAAAGAAAGGCTTATATAGAGTTTCATTATAAAATATGAGAGGAATATCTATATCTGATACTCCCAGGTATTTCTGTAAAGATCACCTACATGTTTAAAACACTTAGTCTTAAGAAAGAGGGAAATTCCTTCGAGCTTGCAAGGGATTCTTAACATAATTTAGATTGAAAGTCAGACACTTAGGAGTTCAACTCACAAAAAATCCCAAACACCCACCACGAAAAAAATCCAAATCCACATCCCACGCTAATCAAGATGTTTCTTGTGAGCAGAAAAGCAAGCAAACAATAGATCAGAGATAAGGTTATACTGGGGTTACATTAATGGTGGCTGCTAACACCAGGATTAACCAAAAATGGCAGCCACATATTTGAACTTCCTAATTAAAGGAGTTTAAATATCAAAGGATATGATTTTTTAAAACCAAAGTTATTTTCTTAAGTAAAGGAAGAATTACTGCAATTTGAAACAAACATAGACTTAGGGGAATAAGAATTTAAAAAAAAACAACCAACAAACCAAAACAACAAACTTTGGAGAGAAAAACAATTATTGTTGTGTAAATGGATACTTGTTTGAGGCAACAATATATCTAAAATGAGCAATGGAAAAAAAATAAGTAGAAGTTCCTTTCAGCAAAGGGACCTAAATCACTGTGATAGTTTGACAGTCTTGAAAGTGATGCCAATATACATCTCAAATAAGCCTAAATTTCTCTTCTGGCATTAAACATCTATTATTATTATTAAAGAAATGTTCAGGATCTGCAGTTCAGGAATGCCTGACTGTACAATAAATAGAAATGCTGTATCTTTATGGTGGGTTTAGATAACCCATATATAGGATACAGAACAGCACTTACTGAGCTTAAACTCAGTGCATGTCTTAGTGTGAATTACTTTTCAGCTGTGGACAACAACTGACACCAGGAAATACTGTATTATGTCACTGACTCTAATGAGCTTAGCAGGATAATATCACAGCAGTTTATAAATCAATTTATAAACAGTGGATCAACATTCTCAATCCATAACGCTACAGTTTGTGGCCTAAAACACATAATAAATGTACCTGTCCAATGAAGCATGAAACAATATTAATAATCAATCAGAATTACAGCACTACTTTGTTGTCCAAGTTACAGAGCAGCTGTGATGGTTTAAGTGTCATAGTTGGGAAAAAAAATTAATACGAAAAGAAAACTCTAAATTGATTGTGGTACCTGCTTTTACAACCATTTAGCTCTCTACATGAAATTATTTTATGTAATTTTTTTGTCATGTTAAGTACCTGTTTCATCATCCATGTAATTGCAAGAACCTCTGGATGTTCACGCTGTAGGGGAAACGTGTCACGTTCAAAGGATGGTGCTCATTCCAGCTAATTCTTTCTCAGACTGACAGGGAAGAATATCCTAATTCCCATTAGCACAGTAAATTGCCTCTCATCCTTTGTGTCCCTAAATCAGGGCTGATCAATGCCGTGCTCGATATCCCTTCCTCTGGGCAAGTTTAACCTTTCCACAGCCTGGCCAAGGAAATATTTTACAGAGTTCAACTCCAAAGCCTTGCTTGCCCAAACTAAAGTGCTCCAGCAGGCAGGAGAGAGAGGGGTGCAAAATAAAGCACTCTTGAAAACAAGATCTCTGTGTATTTGATCACACCAAAATGTATCAGATACAACACACAATGATACACTTACTACACTTAACTGACTGTGGGGTTTTACTTTAAGGTTCCAAATGAAAGTTGTAAGTGTTTCACCCTGATACATGGAAGCCTTTAAAGTGCATACTGTCTACTTATTTACATTATCATCCTTTTGTCATTGTTATTAGTATTCTGTTTTCTTGATACTTTAAAAACATCCCACAAACATGGCTCAGTCTTTCAAGTGACATTTCAAAATTTCTTCCTCAAACTCAGTGTTAAAAATGATGCAAAATGTGTTAAAAAGACAGTAAAATAAACAGTATCCCTTACAATAAAGCCCATTTTAGACCCATTCCCTTCCAAAATTACATAGGGCAACATATTTATATTACTTGGTTGATTTCTAAAAATTCCCAAGATAGCACAAAGAGCAACTCATTCACTGTCTTCTGCTGACAGACCAGATGGACTAAGTGCTATTTTACTGACTTATTTGAAAGCTAAGATCCTCACTATCTTCGAAGATTTGATTGAAATGGGACTGCTCAGATTACATTAATTCATAAAACAAATACACTGAGGTAATAAACCTGCTGCAGAAAATGTTACGGGATTTTTGAAGCTTCCAGCTTTACAGTGCTGAAGGACACTCAGGCAGAACAACAAAGGTGAACAAGGAAGGAAGATAACTAGAAGAAAAAAATCCCTTAAAAAAACCCCTGTTTTCCCTACAAGTCTGCACTTCTTCCTCACAAGTCACCCTCACAATAGACACAAACCCAATAAAGCAAAAAATCTCCATTTACTTTAAGCAACATGTTAATGAATCTCTCAAACTGAAAAAGTCTTTCTCTATTTCAATTTTGCCTCATCTGCTGACTTTTTAAAACCATCTTCCAGATAACACAACATGTTCTTCATAATAAAAAATAGGATCACAGAAGGTGTGAAAGCAAAAGTGATGATGATTTGTCAAAGACACTGGTTTTCATATTTTGCCTGGTATTTCTCTGACAGCCATAACAGTGGTGTAAATTAATTTTCTGAGAGGAGATTTATGAATGGTGCCCTGCATTTGAAGGGTTGCAGGTACAAGCAGAGGCTTCTGTATCTCTTTCCTAATGAATAGTTCCTTGCACCCAGGAAGACGAAATACCAAGATGATGAAAAAGAAAAATTATGTTTACGAGATTTTCAGTCACATTATTATTTTTCTTAAGATTAAATGTTACAGATTCACCAGATTTAAAAGAAATCTTTCAGATTTCTGCAGTCAAGGAGCACCTAAAGCCTGTGGCTGACTTCCTACAACAATCCATATGGACACACAACACATTCAAGAGGAAGCAATGCTTGATATGAAAAACTCTATCAACACCAGACAACACATACTATATTAATTTCTGACCTTTATTTTATCATTCAATATAAAAATATTGCATAAACATGATGAAAACTGGACATGTGATGTTCTAACCTGGCACTGTCAGTCACCTTAAACAGATTTTCCCTTAAGCCTTGAAGTTTTCAGGAACTGAGTAACAGATTCTGCCAGGTATTCTTTCCCCCTTCATTTTCTTGCATCATAAAAAGTTAAACTGTATCCCACTGAATGTATTTTACACATTTTATACTAATACATTTCAGTTAAAAACAAACAATTTTTATTCCTAAACATTTTTTCCCATGTTTTTCAGCTTCCTTTAAGGTAGAACAGGATAGTGTGAAGAGTTAAAAATCAGTACATTGCCTGTCAATTATATTTGTATAAAAAGCAAAAAAAAAAAAGACACATCCAGAAAGTTCAAACATTGACAACATCAATTTTGCTATTACCACTTCATACTACTTTTTAGAGAATTGTAGGAGTTTTTAGCACAGTAACTTAGTTTACTTGAGGGATTTTTGTCAGAAAAGCATTTCTTCTACTGCATTGGTAGTAAGGTAATCAAACAGTAAGCAATTATGAATAAATGTAATTAGACTAAGAGAATGACACTGCATCCTCACACTACATCCTCTGAATATTCTACCAGGAAGTTTTCTTCTGTTTCCCAAGATATGTCCAAAACACTGAAAATAAATAACGAGGAATACTGACTCCCTTCTCAGTATGAATGATAACTTAGGATATAAAATGCAATAAAATTCCTACCTCTTTCATTAAGACTGTTTAGCACTGCCCTTTCAAGCTGTTCTTCTTCAGTGAGCCCACCAGTGTAATCATAGTAGTTCCTTGGAGGTCTGTATTGATAACCTGGATAATGGCCATAATAGTCTGTAAAATGAAAACAGAAATGAAGAAAATAAATTGCTGCTGCTCAGTGGGCAAGCTGAAATCAGATATTATCTTTGGGCTATCTTCACCTCTTGGTTTAATTTTGGAAAGAAAAAAATATTAGGATTCAATTACTTGCCGTGAATTAATTTCTAATTTTCAAAACCAGAGTGTGGTAACAGGAGAGGGAAAAATGACAGAAAGATGGATCAAACTTCTTAATTTTGTACAATTGTTATGAGTAAGTGAATTGTCATTATTAAGAAGTTCCACATAAATTTGAGCAAGAGTTTTCATCAGTTCCTCTTAACAATTAGTTGTCAATATTTGGACACCTTATTAACGTCTTTAGAACAGCAACACCTAAACAGGCTATCCCTGACCATCAGGAAAGTTTGCCAAAGACAAGCACAAACCATCATCCACCCAAACACATGGGATTTAAAAATAATAATAATAAAAAAAAAAATTACTTGGCTGGAGAATTGAGCAAGACTCTCTTCCTTTTGACAACACTGAGTACAGAAAACAAGCTGAGAAAAACTTATGGGGAAAAAAGTCCCATTTTTTTATTCCAGTTTTGCATCTTCAAAAGACAAAGCTTTTATGATATTTTAATTTCCAGATGACTGAGCAAGGGATTTTGAAGACCTAAAGTTACAGAAATGTTGCCAGTGTCTTCCAACTGATGGAAAATTACACACTTTTTTTTTTTCAAAATGAGAAAAGTGGAAATCTGTTTGCATGAAACAAGCAGAGCATGCCATTTCCTTTTATCTTCAAATTATTACCATCAGTGATAGTCCTGTGCTCTCTCATTACTTCTATCAATTCCATGTGCAATGTGTGAAGGCTCTGTGATTAACAAGTACAGATGATGAAGTGAGGACAAACAAATAATTTCTTTTTAAAAATGATTGTGGTAAGGAAAAAATAAAAAAACCAAATAAAAACAGCAATAGCCCATCTTAAAAGCTCTACAGGAAAAGCAGGAAAAATTGAACAGAGAAACTGCAGAATATTCTATAAAGTAGTAAATATATTCCTCTGTATTACACAAATATGTCTGTATATATTTTATATACATATATATGTCCACACAGATGTGTATATATATATCTGTATAAACACTACACACACACATAGAAGGGCAATTCTGTCCATTTCCAAATATTTTTTACTTTTTTTTTGGAAATTACAACTGACATTGGCAGAATTTTCCTACACCTGCAGTGAAAACTGACTGCAGGCCAGCACTCAGCTATTTTGTCTTTACACTTGGGATGTAATTTCATGTACTGCCCTCGTTCTCCTCTGCTTTATGTTCATCTGAAGGAACTTTTCCTCAGCTAGAAATTCATACTCTGGAGGCTTCAAAACCACGTGCATGAAGACTATAAAAATCCTGGTGCTAAAAGCATGGAATTATCTGATGAAAGAAAAAGGATGTTGTATTTTAAGTTTGTTCTGTGGCTGTAAATTTTTCTCTGTTTGATGTTTCACGCTGTCATCACGTTGTGAGTGCTCAGAAAGCTGTAATCTTTTATTTTACAGCAAGAAACAGTTTGGTAACATTGATGTGTTCAAGGTGTTCCTATTAATCAAAATAAATGTCCTAATACTTTATTCATGAACTGCATTTAGAGAAAATCTAATTCAGCTACTAAATACTAAATGTGTTAAAATTACACTTAAAGCTTTTTTTCTCCTAAAGCTGTTTCCCTGTACTGTTTCATAAAATCTGTTCTGACTATAACTTCATCTATTTTTCTATTTAAATGGGTATTTAAAGGCAGATCCCAATAAATCAGCAATGCCAAAAAGTGAAAAATTAATCAAGATATGCATCATTAGCCTATGACACTAGAACAAGTTTCCTTAATTCACAGATGGCCAAATTTATTACAGATATCATCCACCAAGCAAAAGGTTAAATCTTCCATTAAGAGTCCAGCAAATAGGATGAAAGACAATTACAAAGTGTATGAACAAGGAAGGAACAAAACAAATATATATATATATTTTTAATTGCAGTTATAAGTCATTTTAGATAAATTAATTTAGTATTAAAAAAATTAAATAGCTGTATCTAAAGCCAAGCTTGGAAGACAGGATAATTCAGGTTAACCCTCTCCATCTGCCTTTTGTCCACGCTCACTGCACGTTCACATCTTCATTCACTTCACTGTATTAACTATCTTTTATTTCTCTGCTGGCCTTTATCTATCAAATATTTTTCGACTCGAGAACTGGAATAATGAAAATCCTGGGTAAATACATTTCTAAGTTGGAACAATCCTTGTTGCTATTGGTAAGGAAAGCTGACTGAGATGGTTGGTTTAGGAATGACAAAATGGATGCTTCAAAAATATTCAAGGGCCCAGAATCCTGCTTGTGGGAATTATGTAGTGTAATAATAAAACTGGAGATAGATCATGGAAGACAAGAATCCATCAGAGGATAAAAGCAGCTATAATCCTTGGCTCAAAGTAAGCACATCTCAATTATAAAAGACTACACAAAATACAAAACCCTTCATGTTTAAACATCAGAGAACACTAAGAATGATCAAATGCATGAAACAGTTTTCTTACAAGCAACCACATACACTCCAACTTTCCAACTGGAGAGGAAAGATGACCATTGTGAGTACAGGAGAACACGAAATACACAAAGAATGAAGGTTTAGTTTCCTTTCCCAGGGAAGAACTAATGTGCATCAAATTAAATTAGCAGTTAGCAGGTTCAAAACAAACAGAAGTGACAGATCCTATACCAGGAAATAAACTGTGAAATTCTCCCTGTCTGATGCTGTAGGTGTTAAAAGTGTTCAAGTCTACTCAAAGAGCTTTTGACAAATGGATGGAAGAAGAATCTACCATGGGCTATTAAAGACAAAAATTCCCCCATAAAACCCGCTGCTGAGAACATCTTTAAGCCACAAGCCACTGCACACTGGCAGATATTTGAGAGGATTATCTCTATGTATTTATCCTGTTCTTACAGCAGATGCCCAGGAAAGAGCAGAAACCCCTGCAGGAGACATGCCCAGAGAAGTAATACAAGTTTAGTAAGTGTACATATGTGCAGAATATTTTATATACTATATATGTTCCATTTAACTAGCTCCTCTATAAGTTTTCTATCATTAGCAAAAATTATTTTTAAAACTGGAATAAATTTTTTGTTAAGTTGATGAGAGTACTTACCTGAATAGTAGTCCCTTGGCCTGCCATGGTCAGTGAAGAAAGAAATGCCACCTAAATAAAAGAATAATGTATAAGTCAAATTTACTGGTTCTTACCATCCCTATCTAAGAAAAAAAAGGTTGATTTATTTTCTTCTGCATTCACTTCAATAATGAGCATATCCTTATTTGTCTAAAAACATGCAAGAAAGGCCTGAATCTCTATATGCAAGACTTAAATGAAATTTAAAAATAAATGTGTTTCTTATGCAGATTTTACAAATCCAACAAAATTCTATACCTGCACAGGCTTTCATGATCTTTTCCAGAGGTCCCTTAGTGTACATCAATCCAACAAGAATCCCTGCTAGGTGCCCAGCAAAAGAAGTCCTACAAAATAGGAAAAATCTTGTGAGTAATGGAAAGGAAGACTTTTTTTGGGGGGGATGCTGAAGGAAGGGTGCAGAATTTGTTGTAACCGAGGAAGTGCCTGACTGAGACCAAGCACAGAGAAATCACCTCCTGCAAGGACAAAATGCCAAGTTTTCTTTCTTCAAGACTAAAAGTTGGTAGGTACATACAGATATAGGAAAGTATCTAAGAAAAATCCTGGAAAAGCTGGAAATTAATTGGAGAGAACATTTTAATTGCTTGTTTAAAGGACAGAATAACCTTTCCCTAAAAGCATTTAGAGACTCATCAAGGCAGTAAACTCATTTTAAACTTTAAAAAAGTTTAAAAGACTCACACTGAAATATCTAGGTAGGACTTACCAAAACCATTAGAGTTTTGAGTGAAAGCACAAACACAGAACTTCCCAGTGGACTATCAGTACAATCCTACAATTAATCTGAGGTAAGCAGGAATATACAGTGCCTTCAAAATAAAAAGGAGACTTGAAATGCTGAGAACCAAATTCTTTTCTATTCATACCAAAAATTTCTTTACAAAATATCACTGCCATTTGCATCCAGAATGAAAAGGCTCTGGAGTCTTGAGGGATCAGCACAGAAGCAGATGTTTACAGTAAACAGGGAGATTGGCCCCAATTATTGCCATGACTGTGGGGTACTCTATAAATTCATAAATCAATTTTCAGTATTTAAACTAAGAGTCCAACTCTTTTGAGTTAAACCAGATTTAAACTCTATTTGCAAATTTTCCACCTCTATTATCAAGTAAAAGAAGCCAATACACTGAACATTAAAATTTCCTACTATGTGCAATTATAAATAACTCTTTTATACCGGTTGTCTAATTCAGTACAGTTCAAGTTCAGTTCAAGTAATATAAGCTTTTTTGCCTTTCTGAAGTATTTAATATAAAAATAGACTTAAAAATTGAACTTTTTACATTCTGGTTAGCAATCCAAAGGAGTTACACAGATGGCATGTGCACTCAAGACAACTCAACTTCCAGGCATCTCTGGTAAGAGGATACAGGGAAATGCACGTCACTAGAGGGAGGTAAAGATCAAATTTAAATGGACTTTTTTGCCACCTCCTTAATCACAAACTTGTATTCTCCTCTGTAGAGCTGTGGTTCTCTCCCATAAGTAACTAATGCTTTTTTGGAAGAGTAACATGTAAGTGCTCCTGTGAAAATTTATAGGTAAAAAGGTAGTTAACAAAATAAAATATCCATGAAGAACTAATTTTTCAAATGGATTTTTCTGGAACAGATTTTCCAAGTTCGTGAAAAATGCATGCCTGACTTGGAAAATGTCTGTCCTCAGAAAAATGAAATACTTAAAAATCAGCTCCTCTAGAAATCAGCAACATGATATGGATTCACTTAGGACTTAAGACACCACATGCCCAGTTCTAGAAGAGGCACAGAGATTAAACATAAAGTAACTTTTCACAGGTCTGTTCTTCCACCAAACAAATAATCCCAAGGAGTGCTGTGCAAAGCCTACATCCCAATATCCTTACTTTGTGGAAGGTAAAGATTTGAAGGATATTGCATGCCTTTTAAAATTTCCCCAAAACAGAATCATTAACGAGAAGGAAAATCATTAGGTGCCAGTAAATCCCTAAATCCCTTCCAAGCAAACAAATCAAAGTTTTCAGTAACACCAGTACTACTTCAGGATCTGTCATTGGTCATGGATTCTCAGGTGATCCTGATGGATCAATCCAATAAGGCAGGTCCAAATTTATTGCATGGGTTTTTGAGTGGACAGAATTCTGCCCAAATTACTGACCTGTTATCTATTCAAAACTAAATTATGCAACTTGGTCTACAAAGGGACACTCCAAAGCCTGTAACTTGCCCTAAGGATGGAAGAGCAATGCTATGAGAGCTACAATTGTTATGGTTCATTTCCACTCAGTTGGCAGTTACTAATTAAACATGTTGTGTTCTAGGTCATGAATTTCTGAAGATTACCACTTGTTTTCTATTATCATTTAAGGGCTGTGAAATTGTTCTGGGTAGAGGACACTGTAGAGGTTCAGACAAGGCACCAACCTAAGCTTCCATAAAATTATGAAATGGTTTAGACCTTATTTCTGAACTTTTCACACTCTCTGTACCCCAAAGATATTTCTGCAACAATGCAATGGAAAAACAACAGCACTCAACCTCTGAAATCACGTTTTTCCTCTACCACAGACAGTATGATGTGCTTATGGCTTGATTTCATACATAATGCTCTTCTGTTATTCTTTTATAATAAAATAAACAGTAGTATTAAACATACCACAAATAAAAACTACGTTTTTGTAACACAAAAGTTTATACTGCACTTTTTTTTTTTGATCTTTCTGAAAAGTGGGACATTGTACATAAAGTGTGATCTGGTAGTTTGTGGTGTTTGTATCTGTACTTCACATATATTCTCCAATATGATTTGCAGTCATAAAATATTATTTAAAATTATTCCTGTTCCTATATTCCTATTATAAAATAGGAAAAGTACTGATTTGCAAATACAACTCCAAAAATCAACAGCCAAGGAAGAGAAAGGCCCCGTTCTCACAGAGGAAGGGGTGGCTGAACTGTGCTGGCAGAGCAGGGCACACAGGAAAATTGAGGGAGATGATCAGCAAGGACAGTGACACTCCATAAAATTGGTGGAATGTCAGATAACAGTTTTATCAGAACTCAGAGGAGTGACTAAACCAGGCAGAAGGGAGTAGGATGGAAATGGCAAGCCAACAGCGGAAGGCTGCTTTGCTCATGAAGCCCTTGGCACTGTGTTGGTCTGGTTACTTTGTTGAAAACACACATCCCTTTTCCTTGCCCATCAACTTTTGTTATCTTCCCTTCAATACTCAGTAACACCTCCTGGGAACAGCATTTCAGCTTTTTATTTTTGACTCGTGCTCGAAACAGAAGGTGTTAAGAAAAAAGGAAGACCTGTGGCCTCGAGATTTAATTTTGTAGCCCCTAACATTCCACCTGGATACCAGCTAACACTGCTCACGCTTCACCAGACAATTCAGAGAGCCCAAAGCCCTTCTCCTGACTCTGAAACGTTAAACGCACTTACCCTGGGGCGATTAAATGGATGGCCAGCAGCTCCACCCAGCAGGCGTATTTACTGGAGAGCCGCACCCCGAGGACGGTGCTGACTCTTCCCGGGTTGTAATGGTTGTTAAGAACCTTCAGAGCAAACAGGACTCCTGCAAACAAGAAGAGATGGCATGAAGAGAAAGGTGCTTGTGCACAAATAAGAGAGAATACAAGCAGTTTAGCGAAGGAACTTGAAGAACCATGCAGTTCCACAGCACCACGGAGCATGTTGTTGCATGCCAGAACAACAGTTCTAAGCTGGTTTTTCAGTGATACTTTTCAATGGCTTAAAAAAAAAATAAAAATTATGTATTTGTATAACAGCCAATTCTAGGTAGCTTTTAATTATGCCTACTCACTGTAGCTATATCGGGTATTCCAAACAATACAAATTTTAAAATGGGAGTTCCAGGTGAAATAATTGACAAAATTAGTGAACTCAAAAAAAATATTCTGTGAGTTGGGAAAAGCCATTACTGAAAACAAGACAAACAGATACGGGTGAAGCTCAACAGTAGGCTCAAATTCTAAAATTCATGAAAAATCATCTTACATATACTCCAGAATCACTTGTTTCTGAAACAAAAAAAAAAAATAGATAAATCACCTTTAAACACAGTAAATAATCAATCATTTCTAGTTGACTGCAACTGTTTCATCATGCAAGCAACAGTTGATACAATGGAAGGAATTTGGAGAACTTATGGGAAGTTACAAGTGTTTGTGAGAAAAGTTCCTCCTGAGAGAAAGCTCACAGTGGTCTGAAAAAAACCCTGAAAAATCAACAAGTCCAAGTTTTGCCATGGACACATTGACATTTTGGCACAGGCAGCCAAACCCCTCAGGGTTTGCACTCGGGGCCCCTAAAGCCACCAGAGGCCAATATTGGAAGGGGGTGTCACTTGTTACCCAAGGGTAGGTGACCAGAGAAGATCTGAAGCTCCAAATCAGCAACTCCCAGGATGTTCCAACCAGTACCCATTGGAACATCACAAAGAAACCCTCAGAGGTGTTGAGGCACCTTAGAAGTTAAAAAGGAGGGCTTGCCTTCTAAGGCTAGATCCCAATGACAGCAAGGAAAAAAAAAAACCTCCTTATCTAGAAGAGCAGGGATACTTCTCCACTTGACTGCACCTTTTTTTAAAAAAGGAGTTAATTGACTTGATCTCCTAAACTCTGATCTCCTGAAGGAGAAGACAAGACCATTACTGCAAGGAAGTCGACCAAAATCAGGTGCTTGGACGTTTCTAGCGGAAGCAAATCTCGGGGAGTCTCTCTAAAGACAGGCATGAATAATTTGTGATTGAAGATAAAAATTTTAGACTGCTAGGTTTTTCTAGAAGCCATCTAATGAGCATTATTGACATCAGAAAATGAAAACCCTCAGACTTCAATCCATCAGTGGTATTAACCAGGAAACACAGTTCTAAGGGGATGAAAACTGCTTTGATGTTCTCAAGTAAAGTCACTGTCACAGGTCACAAGAACGTGAACTGAATTACATGATGTTCACACCCAGAGCACAGGCTTTAAATGAAAAAATAGCAAAGCTTTACTAACATGGCAATCACACATACAGGGAAATGGGACACCCATCCATTTTCTGCTATTAACAATTATCGTTCTATAGCACCTCTAAATAATTAATTTTATATATGTAAATTGGACCGACTCGGCGTCTTACCTGAAAAACCTACCCCACAGCTCATTCCATAGGAAGGGTCATCCAGAACTTTCACAAGGAGGAATTCCAGCACCACATACACAAGTCCAATCAGCACGGAAAACACCGCAATTACGTAGGCAAACCACACGCTCTTCAGCTTTTTTTCCAGCATTATCCCCTTCCAAAGCATGGAAATCATGTTATAGTACAAGTGCCAGTCATCTGCGTGGTGGAAAGGAGAAAGCAGCAAGCGCTGCCAGTTCTTGTTGTAGATGGCTTCATTGACACTGATGCACACTTCAGCCAGCGGCCTCACGGGATTCAGGAAGAGAAAAACGTTCAGTGCAAGCACCCCAAGGGTAACAGGAGGAATGTTCTGGAGTCCCACCTGGGAAATTTGATAAAGCAGCAAAAGCAGCCCAGCACTGACTCTTCCCTGCCTTCGCTGCATTATTACTGCTCGTTCATGGAAGTGGGAAGATGATTCCGATTTCTGGTCTTTTGTTCAGTTTCAAAACCATACAAGTTTTGGAAATTCTGAAAGAAAAAAGGTAACTTGTTATACACATGTAGGGGTGTTCTCAAGCTCATCACTGCCTTTTTTTTTTTTTTAACACTACAAATTCATCAAGGCAATCAGCTGAGACCTCTTTTATATCAGAAGAAAAACTTAAGTGAGAATGGAAATCAGAATTTTTAAACTGATATGAGGCACAAATAAAGAAGGCACAAATTAAAAATAATACATAAAATCCAGACAAGCATTGTGAGAAAAAGCAGTCTTCAACATCACTTTCACAACTCAGGACAGGTTTTACTTAATCTACAGAATATCTGAGTGTTCTAGATATATTCTAGATATTCTCATTAATGTTCTCATTCACTCAGAATTATTAAAATTTCAAGAAGGAAAAAAAAATTAAAAATTCTCTAGAGTCTCTGTTTCTGAGCTTCCTATCTTTGCTACATATTTATTTTTTCCATGGTCATTTCTCAACTTTTACAAATAATCAAAATAAGCTAAGCCTGAAAATTAAAAGTTACCATTTCAAAAAGTAACAGAGACACAGTTAAGCACTCCTAAATGTAAGCTTTGAAAATCATTACTGCTTTCCTAGGGATTAGGACACAGAGTTTAGTTTAAAAGTATGTGATGGAGAAAGGAAAACTGTAGGAGGAAAGAGTAGCATAACCTTCTTTTTCACTACATAAAAAAATAGCTGAACTTGTTAACATACTAATTTTATTTAAATTCTTTTCCAATTCAGCAAATCAAATGCTTCCTCTGTAACATTTTTATTGGGTTGCAGCACACAAAGTAAGTGGGCAAAGAAGGAAAGCACCTCTGAATGATCTTATCCCGAAACAGCAAAAGGACCTGTGAGACCTGCACAGGGTTGGACCTCGAAGATGACCAAACTTAAGTAAGAGGAGCACATCCTTCCATGCTAATTAACACATGTAACTAATTAACACCACTTATAGTTAAGTATTCTAGTCTCTTAGACTAGAATTTAATTTCTCTTTAAATTACATTTATGTTTACTACAGCAATCTAAGAGAAGAAAAAAAGCCAACTTGGTTGGGGTTTGTATCTTCAAAAGAACTGCAGTAAAACAGAATGCAGGTAAAATTTCTTTGCTACTTACAGCAAAAGTCACTGCATTTTTTCCCATGGTCTTATCCTGGAGATGCTCCACAATATCTAAGCCTTGTCCAGAACAGAGGGGAAACTGCAGAAAGGCTCTTTACACCAGGCCAGTTCTGGAACCCAGAACTAACTACCCTGATGCCTCCAAAAACCAGCCTCTAATCCTCACATTTAACTCCAGAGACCGCAGCTGTTGCCCCCACAACAGCTCAAATGAGCCAACCTGTTCAAGTGTAAATTGATCGTTGCAGATAATTGACACCACCAGCCTTGGATGTTAAAGTCAACATTACCAAAAAAAAAAAAATACTTAGTTAATCAAAAGTTTAATCAGTGTTATTATCTTTTCCCACACCACTTGCTCAGCTGCTATCAGGTATAGTGACACCCCCAAATTATTTTCAGATTCCCCTGCCCGGACCTCTGGCTTTTCTTGTACCTTTTTTTCTATCACAAAACAGTCAACATAAAAACTCCTAGAATTTAAAAGCCACTTGAACACAAGTTATCTGGAAACCTCGAAATCTCGCCATACCACGTTGGTCAAAGTGCCAAATACTACAGTCTTGCATTTTAAACTTTCCATCTCCCTTTCGATACTCTTGAATTCCCAATTTAAATATTTTAACATCCATGCACCTAAGAAATGAACCCCCATACAACACAAAACCATACAATAATCATGCAACACGACTGGGAATGGCTTACACCGTGATTAGAACAGGTATTATAAATCATTGCCATCACTGGGAGCAATCAAAAATGTCAGCCAAGACACACTGTGTGTTCGATTGTAAGGGAAAAAAAAAAGATATAAGAAGGAAAACAGGAGTTATTTGAGAGCCTCCTGGAATGCAACTCTCAGAAAACATATAGAGCTTTCAACTGTTTGAACATTCCTTCTCAGCCTCTACTCTGTTTATTAAAAGGCTAATGAGGCTTGAAACAATGAAGCACTCTTTCCTTTTTCTTCTCCTGAAAACATGCCACCCACTTCCAAATGTACAAATTTCCAGAATAGACTGGAAATGGACATTTGTCTTGCATCCAGCCTGCCACGTGGCTGCATTTTTGTCACCTACTCAAGATAAATGTCTGAACTAAGCATTCTTGGAATTTGTTTGTTTGTTTTGTGCTAACCGAGTGTAAAACATTTAAACCTTTTATTTTTACTGTGACAACCTCTCTCGCTCACTTGGCAACCGTAAAATGTTATGACTTCATATTAATGAAAAATCATGTAATAAAGTAAATATTTTAGTAAATACCAGTTAAAATGAAACGTTGTGCTGTCTTTTCCCACAGCTGTAATTTGAATCCAGAAGACAAGAATCTTCCTGTGCCCTTGCTCCCCCCAAAATGGACAAAACCACCCTGAAATTCTGATTTATGTTTATGTGAAACCCACTACACTCCAGAAAAAATTATGTGTCCAGATTAGAGCTAGAGCAATGTAAAAAAACACCTGAAACACGTGCAGGGTGAACATCAGATCCTGAGCACAAACCATTCCACGCTACAGATAAGTCTCAACAAGCCCACACTGCTTGTCTGTGAAGTCTCGGGGTGCAAAGGCTTGTCCCAGTAAACACAAAAAAAGAGGTTTTAGGACAAAAGAGGAGTCCTACAAAGGAAGCAAAAACTGTAAACCATTCTACTATGGCCCTCAAACTTTGGAAGGGGGTGGGGGAAAGGCATAGCAGAGAAAAAAAAAACAATGCAAGAAAGCAACCCAAAAATCTGAAACATAATGAATCATCCTGTTTATATTTAATATGTATGCAAGGAGAAGGTCAGCCACAAGCTGTCAGCTACAATAAGCTTTGAAATGTACACTCAATTACACAGTTCAAAACAAAGGCAAGGTTCTGACTTCATTATAAAATTAATTGCTTCATAAAGAATGGCTTCTGCATTCATCAAACGTGCCTTTAAAGAGCATAACGTGCTTTCATTCACAAAGGAACGCCGAATGGGGAAGCGAAAAGGCAGTTTTTCAGAATTTGGTGGGAGAAGTCACACATCTTTCATACAAAAGTTTTAAAGTAATTTAGGTCAATAACTACCTTGTTGGAAGGAAACAATACAAAATTAAATATCAACACAAAATGACTACATAAAAGGCTACATCACAGCCTTTTTATTATGCAACATTTTAAAACATCATTCAAAGTTCTCTGTGAGAATAAGGAAGTTCTTCTGCCTCTTATGTCTGGCTTCAGCATGAAAATTGAAAATCTTTTATAGTCCTTTAATCCTCTTAAGTACTACCAAAAAGAAGTCCTTAGCAAAATAAGCTTTTAAGCTAACAACTCCAATTTAAAACTGAAAATTGCACTCTGAAGGGTGTGACAATTACTATTCACAATAATATATACAGGTTAAACAATACATGCCAAGAATAATTTTGGACACCTCATCCCAAAATAAATGAGACAGCTTTGAGAGCAAAGAACCCAAGGGACTGGGTCAAATCTCATACTCTGCTGCACATCTTAAGTATGAAATCTGAGAGACTCAGCATTTAGGTTTCTAATTGCCTCATCAGTTCGGCTACTGCTAATTAAGCTAAAAAAAAATTATTCAAATTGTTTCATTATTATTAACGTGCACTGGAAGCCCTGACAATTTTAGACCCAGGTTTTCATTCACAAAAGAGAAATCAGTGTGTTTTATAAGTCATCTATTTAAATGTAATTAGCCTTAGCACACCAATCTAAACATCAGAACAAGCATCCACTGGATGAGAAATGTTATTTGATGCAACAAAGTCTCCAAAGCCTCTTCACTTTCTGAAAAATCAGAACAACAATTACTGAAAACTTCTTTATATTGTGATCCAGGAAACTATTGAAAATATGCCCATTATGTGACTAATCTACCACTAATTTTATTTCTTCCTGATATTTCAGTTTCTTTGTAGCCTCTCTCATAAGAGACACTAATTAATAACTACCTCTCAAAACACTAGGATACATCTATGCTAATTGAAGCTAGAGAAGCAAAATAATAACAAATATTTATACCACTTTACTGGTGAAGGTGAGGAGATGTCACAGTTAAAGAAAATAACAGTATATCAGACCAACAGTGAGCTTCAGATTAGGCCACAAGAGTTTTAACTTCACAGATGTTTAGCTCTAATTAGGGTCAGGAATTTGGTTTTCAGTTGGATATTTTGGTTTACTTGATTGCAACAGTTACACTTGTGTAATCCTAAAACTGAATAATCATACTAGAAGGCCATCCTCCTTTACCTCAAGAATTTTGTAATATAATTAAAAATGAAGCCACCAAGGATTGTCTGGCTCCACTTCAGAAGTGTGAAGCACAAGGACTCTTAAAGCTTTAACGTTCCTTAGTTCGTATTGCTTTGAAGGAAAGTTTGTCTGCTGTTTGCAGGAGAAAGGCAGGACAGGAAACTTACTTTCTAATTCAATCCATCTTAAATAACACTGGTTAAATACACAAACAACTCAGAAACACACACTTTCCAGTATTAACGCTGTGCTCCTCCTGCCAATACCTCAAATCCATCTGAATTAATAAAACGCAGTTCCAGGAAGAACACCTTTGAGCTACTTCAGGAAATCAAACCAGCTCAGGCATTAATTACATTTTAAAAACACCTGAACTACTTAAACTCCGTGTTAGACAAGCACTAGAAAGTTCATCAAATAATCTGAGGTTCACTTTGGTTTTTGTTTGTTTGTTTATTAAGAGAGCCGGCAAGTTACTTACAGCTTTGTTGCTTCTTGTTTGTTTGTTTGTTTTTACCATTTCGTCGGTTTGACAAAGAAAGGGACTATAGTTCTGGTCAGACATGATTTTTTTTTTTTAGGGAGTTATTTACAGAACATGTAAAAACATTGCTGTAGGAAAATGGAGCATTGTAACAATAATAATGAAAATAACAGTAATAATAAGCTGTTGAAGCTGAAAGGAGCAGCACACGAGAGGGTGTCGCAGCATGAGGGGCTCGCTCGGTGCGGGTTCCCCCTCTCGGCTCCTGCGGGCCCCGCTCCCTCCTGCGCGGCGAGAGCCCTGCGAGGAACAAGCGCCACACAAACGACGGGGGAGAAAATATCAGGTACTCGTACAACTCTCGAAACTCGCTTCGCTCCCACAGCTCCCCCCGCCACCGAAACCTCGGGGAGGGAGAGCGCGCAGCGCGGACACCCCCGAGCCGCGCTGGGCTGGCGGTACCGGCAGCCCCGGCTCCCCGCACACAGCCGGGCCCCGCCGTGCGCCCGGAGGCAGCGGCAGGGCAGGAGGGGAGGGCAGGGGAGGGAAGGGGCGCAGGCAGCGCCGCGGAGCCGCCTCCCTGCCCCTGCTCCCGCCTCACGCCCCTGCCCGCCGCGGCTCCAGCGCCCCCCCCGCCCCGCACTCACGTTCTCCGCAGGCAGCGCCCGGGCCCTCCCGCCGCCACCCGTGCCGGGACCCGCCGGGCCGCCAGGGGCGCTGCTGAGCTGAGGGCGATGAGGGTGCGGCCATGAGGGCGGTGCCGCCGCCGTCCCCCCCGCCTTATCCGCGGGGCGGGCGGGGCTGAGAGCGAGCGAGCGAATGATGACCGGGTGCCTCTCAACAAAACCCCTCAGAAGAGCGCTCGGCTGCCCGGGTGGGAGCTTTAAAATGCGCCTGTACTGTGAAAATATTGGTTAGCGGTGTCCCCGCCATTAAAACGCGTAATCAGGTTCCCTTGGAAAGCGTTCCACCGCACATGAGAAATAGTAGCTGGTTCTGCAAGTTTAATGGATCGGGGATCTTTTTTTCAAGTAAACAAACAAACAAACAAAAAGCCAAAACCCCCCACAAACGATTATATTACCACATCACAGAGTCAGCTCGGTTGGAAAAGAGCCCTGGGATGATCGAGTCCATCCTGTGACCGAGCACCCCCACATCAGCCAGAGCATGGCAGGGAGTGCCACGTCCAGTCTTTCCTTAAAACACCCCCAGCACCTTCCTGGGCAGCCCATTTCAACCTCTAATCCTCCTTTCTGTGAAGAATTTCTTCCAAATATCCAACCTAAACCTTCCCTGGCACAGCTGAAGCCTATATTATACTAGTACTCGTGTAGAGTGCTAGTCACGGGTGTCAGTAATCACTGCATTGTTCCCCAAATTTGACACAGATACCCAGACTGAGAGTTTTGTTACTAATACTGACTAGGGGATACACCGAGCGAATTA